CCTCAACCGACCGTGACACGTGTGACTGCAGGCTGGCGGAGCTTGCGCCCCAGCTTGCCGAGAAGACTCACTGACCTGTTGAGGGCATTGCACATCTCTATGGTTACTAGAACAGAGAGCGCCATTGTCATTGGGTACGGGGATTCAAAGATCGCACAATCCACTCCTTCAAAGTCCGGGTTGTCCTCTTTACACTGTAGGAAATGGCTCTGCAACAAAAGCCCAATCACACTCATCAGCCAAGTGCGTTTCCTCAGTCCATGCCCCAACTCCACACGAGGTCTGGAACGCAGAGCTGCACCAGACCTCAGCCCATTTCCCAGAGAAGCCGGGTCCTTCAAAATAATCTCAGATGCAACTGCTGATTGTTTGAGACTGAAGATAATCTGATAGGCTCCCAAACCCAGAACGCTCAAAGACAACCTTGTTTGTGAGGGCTTACAACACTCTGCGTCCAAGGCACAGAAAGGAAGGTGGCTACATACCAGCTGGTAGAAAGACACTCTTGGACCGCCGTCAGCAGCAATGAACCACCACGCAGCAGCACCCACGGTAGCAGCGCCAACGTAACCTGGGAACACAATCATGATGTTGACACACTGCAGCTGCTGTCTCGTAGGCTCTCCCCAGGACAGAGACAAAGGACATGGCATGTCGATGGTCACTGGAACCCCCTGTACAAAAGCAGCTAGACCGAGGGTTTCTGCAAGGAGAGGGTCTGTGGTACAGAAGAACCAGGCAATTTTTCCTCCTCCAGAATTTGTGAGGAAAAGCACCTACTGGATTGGCAAAGGTCCACCAGCTATGCCCTTGTCTAAGCAGCAGCATCCTCCACATGGACCAGGTCAGGCCACCCATGACTTATAGGCAAACCGATGCTGTCGATGCTGTCCACTAACCCATCTGCTCCCCAGACGCCTGGCAGAATATCTACGCAGAGAGGCTGTTAGCACAGTTAGTTAGTGCAGAACACAGCATCACGGCAATGTCTGAAGCCGAGTCTGGCACCAGCACCTCACCAATTACTTTTGAATCCAGCAAGTTTATTACAAAGAAGCAACAAGGAGTGTGTCTTTTACTGGACGCTACCACATTGGGACAGTCTCTTATTCTCAAGTGCATACACCCTATAACCCAGCTGTCACAGAAGAGCAGCAGGCAGCTCACGCCCAGTGACAAGGCAGCTGTGTGTTTACTGACAAGGAAATTACCCAACAAGTAGGGAGAAATACAGAAAGACACAGGGTTATACAGCTTGCTGTCACCTGTGAAAACCCATACATGAGATCTGCTAGAGTTTCTCTGGAGGAGCACGAGAAACGTATCGCTGGAGGGACTGGCTGGTTGAGAACTTCCCAGGTGTGTTTTACATTTTTTTTTTAAGGTGACCTTGGTTGACCTCACAGATTCCAAGGACCTCGTCAGCTTATAATCCCTTATTTTTTATGCCTATGGCACCTGGTCTTCTTAGTTGGTCTCCCGTCCAAGTACTATGTTTTTTCAATTTTAAGTCATGTGAATGTATTAAAACAAAACAAAACGCCTGTTTACGGGATCCTAGGGAAGTCGTTTAACCTGTCTGGGCCTCACTTTCCTAACCTATAAAATGGGGAGGGAACCACCACCCCAGGGCAGGAGGATGAGGTCTCCACAGGTGGCATGCAGAAGAGTCTGAGCCACAGCCAGGCCCCACGCATCTACCAACCACTGCTGACGCGCACAGGGGTCCCTTCTACCTCAGCGACATAAGGCCTGAATTGTCCCTGTGTCCTTTTGCCCACAGGTTAAATCTGAAAGTGTCACTCACAAACGCCCACGGAAGGATGAGGATGCTGAATGAAACGAGACCAACTTTACTATAAACTGGGTATTTACAGCTCATTAAACTGCAAGAGGGCAGCCTCCATTTTTTGCTACTCTAGTATGGGAATAGAGGAAAGATGTCCTTTTAAAGGGATGAATTCATAAAATTTTGGCTCGCGAACACTTTGTTTAAAAATCAACAGTATAAAAACTACTCACAGCCAATAGCCAGGTAGCGGAAGAAGAGCCACCCGCTGATGAGTGGCTCCTTTGGGTTCCGCGGCGGTTTATTCATGATGTCCAGATCCGGAGGGTTGAAGCCCAGTGCAGTGGCAGGCAGGCCATCTGTCACCAGATTGACCCAGAGCAGCTGGACAGGAATCAAAGCCTCAGGAAATCCAAGGGCTGCTGTCAGGAAAATACTGTTTCCACCCCAGGAAAGAAGAGAAAGACCCCAAATTATTTTTGGTCACTATTCAAGTAGTATCACCTTGTCCTTCTCCATAAAAACAATGGACAGCAACAATGGATGCTTGAAATAATGTTTTTTTGGTGATCATAAAACATTAAACTCAATTTCGAATTAAGGCTAACTTTAAGAAAGACAAGAATTTTACGTTACTTTATATAGTTAAACTCATTTCTGTTAAAGGCAGCCCTCCCGAGGCCCGAAGTCCCTCTGCCTGCAAGGGCACTCTTTGCTTGGCCTTGCCCTCCCACCCACCTCGTGCACAAGGACCAAAGCTGCTGTCATAGGAAGAACAAATGTGGAAAACTGATCATCACAAGCCCTGATTTTAGCTAAAAGAATACAAGTGATTTGTCACAGGGACCCACCAGACAACTTCCCCCACATTCGACGAGATGAGGTAGCGAATGAACTGCTTCATGTTGTTGTAGATGGCCCGCCCCTCTTCCACGGCAGCCACTATGGTAGAGAAGTTGTCGTCAGCCAGGACCATCTCAGAGGCAGTTTTAGCCACTGCGGTGCCAGAGCCCATGGCAATGCCGATCTCAGCTTTCTTCAGAGCAGGAGCATCGTTCACACCATCCCCAGTCTGGAAGGGAACCCAAGGACCTGAGAGTTGGTTTACACACACCTGTCACCTTACATACACATCCCTGACAAAGGTTCAGCCATCCTAAAACAAGAGAAATGAATGGAGCTGTGGGCCTCTGGACAAAGAAAATAGAATTTTCGTCAAGCTGGTGCCACAAAATGCATTTTACACCTGGGAAATGTGAAACTGCCGGATAAGCTCACTGAAGAAACTTCAGAGGGAAGTGGAACAAAGGAGACTTTGAATACATCTCTGTTATTTTTTAACAAACCAACAAACAAAAAAACAACCTATATGGCAGTCAAGATGAAGTACTTTTATCTGCAGATAAACCTTGAGTAGAAGAGGTGCAGACTGCAAAAACACATAAACTATAACATGCTGTTTACATAGGTTGAAAGTATCCAGAAACACGAAAAATGTTGTCTATAGATACAACGCTATCATTCCCATGTTGTTTTTTTATATTTTACTAAACACCTGATACTGAATTTGGAATGGTGGTTTCCCCTGGGAGAGGGAAGAAAGAGGCAGGGAGAACTGAGGAGTACACCTGTTAGAACAACAAAATTTCTTAAAAGTTTTATAGGCGAGCAATAGAAAACAAATACTGTACAACATTAACATGTCTGGGTGAAAAATCACACAAGGGGGAGAATACTGGAAACGCTTCCACAAGCAGCTCTTAAAGACTGCCTCGCCGGTGCACCTGATCTCAGGTAGGGTTATCCAAAGACCATGACAGAACACAGATTACTTACATTCCGAGTCAATTTTTATCGAGATATCACCAAGTATTTTCCCTATGACTGATTCAGAAGGAACATCTAGATCAACTTAAACTACTCTAGCATCTTCCCTGCATGCAACAATATACAGCATGCCAAACTGCTGGTGAACAGAATCCTAGAGAAACAGCCCAGATCAAGACAAAACCCAAGAAATTCCAAATCTGGGAGCTATTACTATAAATGTAATGGTCAAAATTAGAATCGTCTATGTTTGTGTAGTGAGTCACCTGCACATGTCCACAGACACTCACCATAGCTGTAATCTCATCAAAGGACTGAAGAAATTCTACAATTTTAGATTTGTGGGAAGGTTCAACTCGAGCGAAACAGCGGGCATTCAAGCAGGCATCTCTCTGGGCTGAAGGGCCAAGCTCGTCAAACTCTCGACCTGTAAAAGCCTTTGACATCACATCCTCATCCTGCCCAAAAATGCCAATGCGGCGACAGATGGCCACAGCGGTGCCCTTGTTGTCCCCTGTGATCATGATGACCCGGATGCCTGCTTGCCGGCACAGCTTCACAGAAGAGGCCACTTCAATTCTTGGAGGGTCCAGCATGCCCACGCAGCCAACGAAAGTCAGATTGGTCTACAGCAAAAGAAGAATCACCTTATCTTAAAACAGGAAGTTCTCATTTTCCCTTGTGTAAAACATGGACTAATTATATACATTAAGAGCAAAGGTTTCTGCATTTTCTTATGCCAAATTCTGTAACTCTGACTCTTATCTAAGATTAATATTCACACTACAGATGTAAATCCAACAAAGAACAATATTAATTCTAATTAATTTGAAATGATTAAAAATATCACTACATCGCTTCTTGGCCTTTTGGCTAAAATCAAATGTAAAAATATCACTACATTCTTGTTACCAAATCATTAACTTTCATAATGATACTATTCTGAAACGAGAAAACATTCTGAAGAATAAGAGCATTTTTATACTGGCCACTTTTTTGGGGTCCACAGGACCAAAACTTGTTCCTTATTCCTTTCATTCGATGCTTCAGGAAGTCACACACCTGATAGAGAATTCTACGAGCAGGAAAGTAAATCTCAAGTTGGATATTTTGACCTTCAATAACTAATAAATGTTTTAAAATAGTCTCAATTCTTAAAATATCTTAATTCACATGAGTTGCAAAATAGGTTTTACAAGTTTACTTAGCTCAAGTCTTGATAATTCTACTCTGAAAGTAATAGATTTGTGTTAAATTGTTAACTACGTATGTTTAAAGCAGCAACCTAAATTATAATGATGCATTTGGCCTGCAGAAAAACGAACAAACACCTCTTTCTTGGCAAAAACAAGACTCATTTGACCTTTTACCGAAAGACTGCTGTTTAAACACAATGACTGCGCAGGGTGTGGGTGAAGAAACTTTTCACTAGCTAACCTCGTATTTAATGAAGTTGGCAGAGTCCTCGAGGTTCATTTCTTCTCTTCTCAGTGGGCTGTCATGAGTGGCCAGAGCCAGGCATCGCAGTGTGTCACTGCCGCTACCCCATTCCCGAATGACAGACATGATCTTCTGTTTGACTCCGGGAGTCATAGGGACTTTCGTACTTCCAACTCGAATGTGGGTACACCTGTCAATAACACCTTCAGGAGCACCCTGGAAATGTTACAGATTTAGATCAATTTTATTTATTGGCTCATTCAGGATCCTAATCCTGTTAAGAACATCTCAATTGCAATTCACTGCACTTGCCTTTACAAACATTTTGCTCATTGATGTCCGACTTGGCTTGTTCGGTGTACAATAAACTGACATTGATTTTCGATCACGTGAAAACTCTAGAGTAAATTCTTTTTTCATCAACTGTTTAATGACCTATGAAGAGAAGAGAGAAAGAATACTATTGGATGAGTTTCTACACATTTTTCACCTGTTCAACAAATATTCACTAAGCACCTAATATATGACAGGCATTGAGGATACAACAACAAATGATAAACAATCTTGCCTTGTGATGGTTAATACAGTTAATGCACCACTTTTAGGCTCCATAATGCTCCTTGTTTCCCTTCATTGAATAGTTACAGGTTAGAATCGAACAATTAATTCTAAACCTCAGTCTCTGAAGCTGAGGCTTCAATGTGCCTCGGAGGGATCTAGTCCACACCAACTAACATGTGTCAATGTGGCTTTGCACCCTCCACCACTGCCACCACATTCATTCACCTCTGAATGTTAAGCTAGTCTGAGTTGTGGTAATTCTGTGTGAACACATTACAGTTCTATATATTATTAGATTTGATCTGTCAATGTTGTATTGAGAATCTTTACATCTATATTATAAAGAACATTAGTTTGTAGCTTCCTTTTCTTGTCACATCATGTCAAGTTTTGGTATCTCTGGCCTCATCAAATGAGTTGAGAAGGGTTTCATCTTCCTTTTTCTCATAGTCTCTATAAAACCAGCATTTCTTTCTTAAGTGTTTGGCAAAACTGGGCCTGAAGAATTTTTGTGGGGTTAGATTTTGAATTACAGATTCAATTAATTTAACAGATATAGGATTATTCTATTTTTCTTGTGTCAGTTTATAAAGTTGTGTTACTTGTGCTTCTGTTGCATCTTCCAATTTTCATATGGTGTGTTTTCAACATTGTTTAGGTAAAAATATTTTCTAATTTCCACTATGATTTCCTTGTTCACCTATGGATTATTTAAAAGTGTCATTTAACTTCAAAATATTTGGGGAATTTGCTCGATATCTTTTTGTTACTGATTTCTAGTTTAACTGTATTATGGTCAACAACTATCTTCACGATTTCAATCCTTTGTAATTTTGAGTCTTGCCTCATGGACCAGCTATACGGTCCATTCTGGTGAATGTTCTTTTTGCCTTAGAAGTACACATTACAAGTAGCATAAAAGAAATAAGGATTAGGTCAAGTATATTATACTGCTGTTCAAATCGTCCATATCCTTACTGATTTTTTCATCTGTTTATCAATTTATTGAGAGAGGTATGTTAAAATTGCCAACTCTAATTGTGGATCTATTTTTCCTTTTATTTTTGTCAGTTTTTGCTTCATGTACTTTAAATGTGCCATTATAATTAGAGTGCTGAAGGGGAAAATAAAGTCAAAAGAAAGCTTTAAGATGAAAATAATACTTTTATTTCTCCTTTGATGGTGAGGAAGATCCAGCAGGTGGGAAATGGATAATGCAGGAGAGATGTTGGGGCTTGCTGCATGAGGAGCAGCTGGGAGCAAGGACAGTCCATTCACAGCACCACGGGAGGAGGCAGAACTTACGGTCACAGATGGGTGCATGTGGAAACTATCTATTGATTACTTTTATTTTCTTTAGATAGCTAGCCAGATTGTTTTACCTGAGAGTGAATATGGGGAAGGAGGTATCACAAGTTTGAGGAGATAAGGTATATAATTAGTTGTCTAAGATAGTAAAGGCGTAAATATGTGGTATGAGTGATGAGCAGCATGAACAATACACCAAGTTCAAATACTGACCGAGTTGCAGGCATTTGCTCGTTCTATTTTAGAAAGACCCTTCAATTCGGTATCAAATACATTCATCTTCTCTACCAGGCAAGTGAGAGCAGTCTCTGTAGCTTCTCCAACTTTTTCATACACACCCTTTGCCTGTATTGGTTAAAACACAGAAGTGCAAAAAGGGAAAAGAAGTAAACAAGTAAATTTTTCTTTAATAAAGACTTTTCCATAGAAGGACAATTTGTCCTCCACTGCATCATTATTCTATGGACCATTTCTGTTCTACTCTGAGGCACATGATCCTGATAATTAAAAATCTAGTCAAAGCATAGGTGTGCATTTTATCTTATTTTTAAAATTTTGGTTTTTCATTTCTCTTAATTATATGAAGCCACTAATCATAGTATTAATTCATATACGGCTTTCAAACAGTACTTAGAATTCCATGTCATTATTTATCTACAGAGTTTACATTGTTACTTACGGGGGCTGGCATGCCTTTTAAATAGAAACCAAAGGATTTATCTTACTATTTATAATTAAAGAGGGGGGAAAATGTTTTCTGTTTATTTTCATCATCATCAAAACAACCCTCTAAACCTCAGCTTGTTCTCAAGGTTATAACACTTAAAAAGCAAGATCGAGACCCTCTACTTTCAGAAAAACAATTTCTACCCAGGTTTTATTCCTTTATAGTAACCAAACTGTAAACAGATGAGAACATCACGTAAACTCCAACTCTTAGTTAAGTAACGACAATACTCAGTCACAGAGGACATATGAAAGGCTCTCGG